TTGTTACGCAAATACTCAATCTAATTAATAAATACACAATTATATACAAAATAATTTTTACATGGCATGTGTAAATCTGCCGTCAAAACGAAAATATGACATATATATTTAATATTCAGTATATTCATATAATTTGATAATTCATTCATTTCATAAAGAAAATACGAAAGCTTTGATTTCGTGGTCCAGTTCATCTGTTATCTTATCTTAAAAGCATTTTAATGTTGTAAAGAGATCTCCAAGGCCAATTAAATTTATGCAAACTCAATTTTTGCGTGTTTGTAAGGAATTTCTTCCACTTTTAGTTCCTCAAACGAGACTATCAAATTTGGATGATTGAAATGGTTAATGGTCTAAAACATTAATAAGGTCTTATTAATAAAAGTAAATATATGAAGCAGACGCCAGAGCTACTCACCATATACAGATCAAGTTCGTCCTCCCCAGTATTATAACAATGCATCAGAAGGGGCTGTGAGCGATTGTCCAATGCTTCGCACATAAACTGTCTGCTCGAGTCATAAAAGTCATCCTCAATCAGTATGTGTGACAAACTTAAAATTTTGAGGGAACTGCAGCTGGCGACTGCATCCCAGAGGTCCATCTCGCAGTCCAAAAACTGGCCTCCAATAATGTTTACTTGTTCCAATACTGGCAAGTTACTAACCAATCTCTGAAACTGTCCGCTCCCAAGGATATTGTCAATTAATGTCAATTGGCGCAAGTTTTTCAGCAGTAGCAGTGATTCCAGAAACCAAGTCCAGTTGATAAAGCTGAAACTCAATTTACAGATGTCCTCTGGTCGCTGTTCAAGAATCTTAGGTAAAAGGGCTCTAGTTTGTGGACATAAAGTCGAGAAACTAAACGTACGAAGCTTTGGCAAGTTTAAGACGCTAACAATGGATGCGGTCCTTAAGAAGTGCATATTAACTGTTAGGTGCTCTAAGTCCTGAAATGTATGCAGTGATACTCCCTCATCCAAGGCCTTAGGCTTATTTGACCACAGCTTCTCCAAGAATTTCCACTTTTCCATTCTTTCAAAGTTTACTGGCGCAAATGGCTTAAATGATGTGATGCTAGGAAAGAGATCCACTAGCAGCTGAAGAGCTTGTCTGTATTCACTTTCATATACATTAGCCCATTCGTATTCTAGCGATCGAATGCATGGAAAGCTGTGATTCATCAAGTGTTTCAAGTGGTTCATAGTAACTGATCTTAGTTCCAAATGTTGTACCGTTGAGCAAATGGTACTAAGAAAGGCATCCTGCAGCTGATTAGAACTGCTCCCATTTTTCTCCAGAAACATGTAATTATAGTCTAAAACATGGCTGGATTTGCGTTGTAGAACATAGCTGACGTTACTATGCAATCGAGGAGCGAAGAACTTTGAGGACGCCCATAAAAAGTATTGTGATTGATAGTCCAAGTAGTTGATAATAATGAGTTGACAATCGTCGTTTATGTTCTCTATCATCTTAGGCTTTTTGTCCATATATATGATTATTAAATTTTTTAAATCTCGTTTTCAAGTTTCCTTAAATGTTGCCCGCTGCCAAAATGAATAAAGTCAATCGATAACGATAACACTAATTAATGATATTAGGTAATTTAAGGTATAAAGGTATGTAGAAATAAGCTGAAAACACGACAAGTTGACACATACATATATATTATTTATAGATATATTGTATATATTATTTAGAAATAAATAATTTTTTTTGCAATTGGAAGGGAATTATGGATTCTGTATCCCTGGTAGATTATCGATAGCGATAGCATGTCTTTCGTTATTGGTCGCGTTCGCCTTCTCTTATCAGTTTATTTTGTTTTGTGCTTTAGTTAATAAAAGTTACTTAAATCGATCACTTTTTATGTTTTCTTTATACGGCACTATCTCATTTGCATAAAAACTAGCATGCCGCCAACAGAGACCCTACGTGCGGGCAGCGGAAACAATGATCGAAATGTCACTGGTTCTGAACAAACACATATAATCAGACAAAGCAATAAATGCTACGAACACCGCGATTCCCAGGCCACGGCCATGTCCGTGGACAACTCAGGTCAATGGGTTCTGCTGGCTGGACGCGGCCATTTGGCGCTACAGCGCCTTGGCCAAGACGATGGCACACTGCGTCGTCACGAACGCCAATCTAAATATGATGTCTCTGTAGCAGAGTTTGCCATATGTCCCAGTCAACGTGAATACTGTGCCATCGCGGTAAGCGTGGTGTTCATATTCCATAGATTATATATGTATATATATTTGATAAGCGAATCTAAATTTCGTTTGTGTCATTTATCTGGTCGCTTTGCAGACCAGTCAAAATATTGACATCGTTCAGTGGGGTCCCGCCGAGCCGCACTACAAGGATTCACTCCGTGGACACACGCGCACAGTTACGGATATAGACTGGCACAGCAAGGATCCCAATTACCTAGTCAGCTGCTCAATAGACACGTTCTCACATATATGGGATTTGCGTGATCCACGCAAGCCAGCCCAATCATTGAATGCTGTCTGCATGTGTAAGGTTCCATTGGGATATATGCTTCTATCATAGATTGCATTAAGTCTTTGATCTGTTCGCTTACAGCGGGTGCTACACAAGTGGGTTTCAATCGTGTCTCTGGCCATTTGCTGGCTGCTGCCCATGATGGTGATCTTCGCATTTGGGATATACGCAAAGGCAGCTGTCCCACGCATTATATAACAGCACATTTGAATCGCGTGCATGGAATTAATTGGAGTCACAGGCGAGAGACGTGCTTAGCCACGGCTAGCCAGGATGGCACCGTTAAATACTTTGATGTCCGCAATCCCAGGCGAGCGGAAAAAATAATAACAACGTTATCGCCCGTTTGGCGTGCCAGATATACGGTAGGACTAGCTATTACTTATACAAAAAGCATTTATTCAGATCCAATCATATTTCTGTAGCCCATCGGCAACGGCTTAGTTAGCATTGTGGTACCGCATATGGGTCGTGGAGAAAATAGTCTCCTGCTCTGGAGCAACAGCAAGCAAACGGACCCAATTTGCTCATTTGTAGGTCACACAGATGTCATACTCGATTTTGCCTGGCGACCCAATCAGGAGAACTCTACAGAAATCGTAAGCCTTGCTGTACATGAATCCTTTGAGATTATTAAGTAATCATTGTATATACTAGGAGTTGGTGACATGGTCGCGAGATCGTACACTGCGCGTTTGGAAGATCGATGATAATATGCTAAAACTGTGCGAACCATCGCCTGATGAGGATGAGGAGGTGGAGCGTGCCTCACCACGCTACGAAAACGAATTGAGTGATTTGTCAACTGAATTTATGATGCGCCCAATGACAGCGGCTGCCTCCTTGCCCATAACCACAGCCAACCTTCAGGTGGGCACAAATACATTGCCTATGGCACGTTCACCCAGCTTTGGCGGTGTCTACGCGAGAAGGGAGGAGACGCATATTGCACGCTCGCTAACAGATCAGCCAACGTGCTCGCTGCAGCATGAATTCTCACTGTTGAATACGAATATGCCGCATGTAGAAGTGGACATGCTGTGTGCGATAAAGCGTTATGCTTGTTTTAAGATCTGTGCCGCGGATCATACGATCATCTTGCAGGTGACCTTTCCCACTGCCTATCCGAGTCCAAATGTGCCGCCCGAGTTTCAATTTTGCCAGGGCACAACGCTCTCCAGCGAGCTAAGCAGCATCCTACTCAAAGTGCTGCGCACCAATGCAATGCAGCGTGTGAAGAAATCGCGCAGCTGTTTGGAGCAATGTCTGCGTGCTCTCGTAGCCGCCATGAAGAAACGTGTCACAGATGTCGCTGGCATTGGGACAGACCGGAGTCAGCTGTTGCTGCAGTCGCCTAGATTGGAGGGCGCCTTGTCGAGCGCCTTGCATGATGCCTGCATCCCTTTTCCACGCACCTCGGGCGTTCATTTCAATGCCATTGGCATGCTGACCACCTTTGCCCAGGTGTTGAGCACCAAGCGTCTGACTTTGCGCCAGCAGATGCAATCCTTTACACCGCGCACCTTGAGCGTCATCAATGGTAGCGGATTGTTGGGCAATGTGATGGCCACCACGACCAATCAGCGCGATCCGAACGCCTCGTTCTATTTGCAGGAGCGTATGATCGCCTGCAAACGCCTGCAGGGCAAGCAACGCGTGATGCGTCAAATCAATGGCACCTCACCCGTCGTCCATGTCTATGATGCCAGCCAGCTGCTGCACATAAATCGCGAAATGGCACGCGATTTTGTGCTGGACAAGCAAAACATAGCGGCAACGTGTCGCCGCAACGGTGAAATCTGTCGTGCAAATGGACGATCAGATCTGCTGCCCATTTGGCTGCTGGCGGAGTTGATAGCAACGCCTCACTCGCCGCACGAATCGATGAGCTGTGAGCTGCTCTTCTATAAGGATCCGTTTAAGAAATCTCTGCTGGAATCGCTGATCATGCATTATGCCACCGCTGGTGATGTACAAATCGCAGTGCTACTCGCCTGCCTTTTCGACAAGTGTCCCGCTGCTCTGATGGGCGTCATGGATGTGGCTGGCTGTCGGTTGCCCACACAGCTCCATGCGCAACGATCGCCTTATCATACGGTGCTGCCCCGTTCGTCCAGCAGCAATTGGCAGCAGTTAAAGCAGTTGCGTAGCAACTCTTGGTCGGATTCGTTGGATTGGGTGGACTTTAAGCTGGGCCAGACAGATGCCTATGCATGCTCTCTGATCCGGCGCACTAAGATGCCGCTCTTTGATCAGTTCAAGCGCGCCTATGCGGATGTGCTCTTTGGTTGGCAATTGCTGTCCAAGCGTGCGCTGATCCTCAAGCACACCCTGCATACACCAGCTCCCACGCAGGGCGTTGAGTTTGTCACCGAATGCAGCGGTTGTGCCAAGCCCAAACGGACGCCCAAATGCGAGCCGTGCAAGCGACCCGTTCTGTATTGCATTCTCTGCTCCTTGCCGGTGCGAGGAGCAGCCAATGCTTGTCTCTCCTGCGGCCATGGCGGGCACATGCAGCACATGATGAAGTGGTTCGAGGTGAGTTTAATATATATATATATACATTTTATTTTTTAGCCCTAATGATTACATCAACTTACAGCGCCACATCGTTTGTGCCACGGGATGTGGCTGCAACTGCTTGCAGCGCACCTCCGAGCTGCTTGCTCTAATTAGCTGATCATCGAAGACGATCTCGCGGATCTCAATCAACGTAAATTTCTAGCTTATCTACGACTTGACGCACCGCAAATCAAAATATACATCAATTATTGTTGTTTTTGTTCTAGTTGTAATGGTTTTTTGTGTAGTCTCCAAGACATTTTGTAGCCTTTGCATAGAAATATAATAATCTAACGAAATTGCGTAAAAGCACTTCATATTTAATTTAATACCGTAAAAATCGTCATATTTTAGTATTGGCAACTTATCACAAGCTCAAAAAGTTAAAAGTTTTTGTTTCTAAAAATATGAGCTCTTGTAGAGAACTTTCAGCATGCTACATAAATTAAAGGAAAAATCTATAAATACCTTTGTGTCTAACACAAAACCCATTGTCTCAAATTATTCCCAAAAAATAATATTTTAAAAACAATCGCTTAAACCATTGCTTGCTTAAGCAATTGCGAAAACCTCCAACGTCCGGATGTAATAATTATTTATTAGTTTTTTGTTTATTTTTCAAATACATATATATTAAATTTTTATTCTTACATAACTTTTTTAGTTTTTACTTTTAGCTTAATATTAACGCATTTATTTGTAGTTTTGTAAATATGTTTGTTTAGAAATCATCGTAATTGTTCGTCACTCTCTTCAGAAAGTAAGTTTTTCTGTTTTGCAAAATATGCAGAATAAAAAATGTAAATTCTATAGCTCTGCTTTTTAACATTTATTTGCCTCTTCGCGATAAGCGTCATGATAATGGAAAATGAAATCACGCAACGAAAAATACTCAATATTTAAAAAAAATGTCAAAATGGATAAACTTATTGCAATTATTTGATCACGCATGTTCCTTAAATTTTGCTTTTATGAATTTTTATATATATATACTATACTTTTTTTTTTTTGAAAACAAAGAACAAGAGCTAAGATCTAGATATAAGTATAAAAATTAAAAAGTAAACAAAGACACGCACACAAACAAATAGTAACGAAATTTGAAAAAATTTTGGCTAAAACTTTCATCTTACGACAATAAGGATATAGTAGATATATATTGAGAAGCTTCAAATTGAAGCTAGAGCTAAAGACGATGCTAACGCTGCTTAACTACAAACGCGTGTGTGTGTGAGTTGGTGTATGTTTCGGGCCTGGATTGTGTTGTTGTCAATGCCAACTAATGGGATGTGTAGTCATCTCGCTATATCATTTAAATTGATCACGATATGTTGCACTGCACATGGCAATAAGCAATCGTACATTGCTGCATTGCGGACTCTTGGGATAGTTCTTAATGAACAGCTGACAATTGCGATAGAGTTCGGATAGCACTTTCGGTGCATGCTCACGTGTGATGGGATCCGACATATTAATGGCCAGCAGCGCTTCATTGAGGTAGCTGCAAACAGTATGAAAGAAACATTAAAACCATACAAATTTGGGTAAAAAAACCTATCAAATCTTCACCTCTGCTTCAGCTCATTGTGGTTGCTCATGTCAGCAGATATTTGTTGTATTAACGACAGCAAAACCTTTTGCTCGAGTCGACAGCCATCGGGCGCGAAGACCTGCATTCGATCAGTATTTCGCAATGTGAATTCCACCAGATTCAAATCATTGGCCAGCAATGCCTGATGGAAGGCCTTATTAATATGATTCGCGAGCAACAATTGTTTTATGCTCTCTCGCAAATCGTATGTGGGTGCGGGCGTTGCTGCCTGGGACCGTAATGCCATACTCTGATTATCCATATGCTTGCGCAACTCAGTGCGTATGGTCTCCTGCATCTGGCGAGCGAGCAGGATCTCTAAGCTTTTTACTTCGCGCTGTGTCTCCAGCATCACATCGGTTAACTCAGTGCGATGCTTAAGTAGATTTGTCTCCACCAGCTGCTTTAAGAGGCTGAGTTTGTTACTCAACTCTTCACCATTATGCGGCTGCGGTATGTGCTGCAGATACGCGTTGAATTCCACCATGACTATTCAAGAAAATAAATGCATTTCTAAATATATTCAATACTCATTTGACTTTGAAATCTTACAATCTTTTATGCCCACGCTGAATGCCTCGTGTAGCTGTTTGAACATATTCTGCGATGACTTCTCGTAGGCTGGGATTAGAGTGCTGCTCATTGATTCGATGAACGCCGTCTGCAGACTTGTCTGCACGCCAATTAGCACGGATTTGCCAAAGGCATCCAGGAATTGCTAAATACAAATTAGAAAATTGTTATTGCAATAGAAGGGACCTCGCTTATATTGTGTCTTACCTTGCTTTTGCACACCTGTGCTATATTTTCCTTTACCGTCTTGTCAATCACATTTAATTTCTGCACAATTTCGAGCTGCATTTGATTCTGCAATTGATCCATTTTCGCATTGACACGTGGCAGCAGCTGCCGCTGCAGCTCCATATTTAAAACGTTGCCAATAATGTCCGTAAAGTGATTCATAACATATTGATTTAGCACTTGCAGCACCGAATCACGCAGCTCCCGATTTTGAGTCTCACTTTTTTAAATAGGGATATGAGAAACAAATAAATGTTAATAAGTTATTTAGATTATACAAAAACATAAACATAACTATCATTATACAACTAGTAAAATTTTAAATTTAGACTACAGGCTACCCTGTATAATTTACAAATATTTCATTTCATTTCTACCTCCCACACTCATTCCCTCTCTTCTCTTACCGTGCGTGCAGAAACTCGGCTAGTTTCTTTTTGTGCTCGTTCTCGTAGCGCTTAAGATATTGCTCCATTAGTTTGGATAATTGCATTTCGATTTTGTATGCCAGTTCGTTGACGCTCTTGGGCTGCAAGGCAGCAGCTGTAGTGCCGCTCGGTTGTTGCAGCAAGTATTGCTGTTGTTGCTGCTGCACCTTGTTGATCTCGTGCTCAAGTTTAGTAAGATGCAGTGATTGCGCTTTTATCAGTTCTAAAAATATCAAAGCAATGAACAATTAATATTCAATCATTCAACAAAGTTTTACTTTAAATACCCAAAAGTTGTTCCAGTTTCGCATTCACTTCTGTTGCGCTCTCAACTATTTGATGACTGCAGTTGCTGCTGTTGTTGTTGTTGCTGCTGTTCAATGTTGTTGCCGTGTTATTGTTACTATTGCTGCCGCTGCTGCCCAGGGTTGGCGGTACATTGCCGTTGTTTTTATGCTGCACCGCTTGGGACATAATTTGGGCCGCATTTTGCAATTCAGCCGATTTTTTAGTGGGTAGCTTTGCATCCTGTGGCAGCCAATTTGATGTTGTAGCTGCTTCCTCGACCGTTGATGAATTGGTTATCTCATTGTCCGTTCTATAAAAGTTAAAAATGCAATCTAACATTCGTTATAACATAAAAACTCACTCACTTATTTTCTGTTTTGCAAATCATAAAATATGGATTATCCTCATCATATTCGAGATTTTCCAGCTCCGGTTCGTAGTCATCTGTATCCTCTTGCGTTGCCATAATCTCTTGCACTTCACGACTTGGACTGGAACCGCCACTTGCCAAGTTCTCCGCTGCGTTGCGTTCCGGATTCCGATCAATGGCTATAAACTTCTTACGAGCATCTGTTTGCTCCTTCAGCTTTTGTTGCTCGCGATCCTCAATGTGCGTGTTGTTGATCAAATTCAAAAGATTGCTGTTGGCTGACTCTGTACCCTTGGCCGTGACCGTGGCCAACATCCGCAATGTCTGCAGCACCTGGGAATTGATGGCCGATTGATCTGTCGTGGTTGTTGTGTTCGTCTCAGCTCCATCTCGATTCACAAGTACAATACTCGCTGCACTAGCGCTAAATGCATCCGGAGTCATGAGATTCAGCTGCGAATAGTTGCTGCCATACTGTGGCGAAGCTGAACGTGATTTATTTGTGGTTGCAGCCTCCTGCAGTATGGCAGATGGTGCAGCCGCAGCAGCAATAGCAACCGACACTACCGAGCCAACTGAATTACGTTTTGATTTACCAAAAAGAGAATCCAGTGGCACAGCGCTCGAGCCGCTGCCGGTGCTGCTGTTATGCGAATTCGGCGAGTTGCTCAATGGCTCCTGCTTAATCTCCGTAACATGGAGCAGATTATCTGGGGACAGAGAACGTTTCTTGCTGCTCTTGCTGCTATTCAATCTTCTTGTTGGCTTGCAGGGCTGGTAAATAATTTGGCATTCCTGCAAACTCTTAGCTTGCACCACGAACATATGAACCACCAAAGCATCAGTGGTTGCGTTGCTCTCGTCATCATAATCATCGGGCTCTTCGAATGGATAATAGCTCTCATTGGTGCTCTTCAGACGACGCATGCTTGCGTTCACTATGGAAAAGGACAGTATGCCCGAGCTCAACTTAAACTCGGCTATATTTTGTATGCGTATGGATGGATCGTTGGAGCCCGCGATGCTGCTGCTCGAGCCATGAGCATCACAGCCATTCTCCGAATCTCCACTATCGCTGCCTTGTTCATTGCCGCCACAGCTGCTGATTTGCATGACATAGACAGCCAATGCATCCAGGCTGGATATAACCAAATAGTTGGCGCTGCGATCAATACCAGCTATAAACATGCTCGGCTGAACACTCGAGGGTACCGAGGCCATAACATTAATCGTTTGCAGGCACTCCCATAGAGAACAATTCCACAACTTGATCTCTGTGTTATGATCGCTGGTGGTGATAACATACTGCCAATAGGCACTGTAAAAAGAAAAGACCAACATTACTAAACATCCATTTTTGTAACCTAATGAGAGCTTACTCCTCCACTGGTTTGTTGATATTATCCAGAAAGAATAACGAGGCCACCGGCTTGCCATCGTGCGGTTTCCACTCGTGCAGACAACGATGATTGCGCACATCATACAAATAAATTTGATAGAAACGAACTAAGCCATCCAGACAGGCAGCCGCAACGGTCGTGCCATCAGGCGATAGAGCAGCGCAGGTTATTAACGTATCCTCTTCTATCTTTAAATAGCCCGTTTCTAGAGACGAGGGTTTTATTTGCCCGCGCTGCAAAGGGATAGTAAAAAGCAAATGACCAAAATAATTAT